CTTCACATGTATTATCTGTATTACCTAATATAATGCGCAGTTGGACCTATAAGGTAATTATTATCCCATTTTACAGATCAGGAAACTGGATCTTGTTTAAAAGGTTTATCCAGAATTATAACTGTAACCAGCAAGATCATTACTGAATGAGTTACAATAACCTTCCTCTAGTGACCATGCAGACTCAACACCAATATAACAGTGGCTAGGGCTGGCCAGATAGCGCAGCGGATTGCAGCACCTGCTTAGGCAGACGCAGGGACTTCAGGGACCAGGGTTCATCTCTGCCCTCCTGGCCCCGACTGTGGGGCTCACTGAGACTGCAGTTGAGACAGGGCAGGAGGTACATGAATAATCCAGCGCTTGGGAGGCTGAAAAGAGGTGGATCACCGTAAGTCTGATCTGTGTAGTAAGACCCTGTAGACAGTGAACTAAATACATTAAAAAAAAAAAAAAAAAGTGGCTCAGTAAGTGTCGTGTGTTTTATTTTCTGTGAATTTGAGAAGATAATTAAGTGGAAATAGAGTAAAATCTTTAAATACTTTCAGGACACTACATATTCAGATACAATGTTTATTATTTGAAATGAATAATTAAAGCTATAGTTACCCTTCCTAAGGTGGGTGATAACAGTTTGGAGATACTCTCATGAGGTAGCAGTATTAAATGTATTGCCACTTCATTTTCTTGGAAGAAATGGCAACCTCTATTAAAATCTACTGGGGCCGGGGAGATGGCTCAGTAGAATAAGCGCTTCCCTGGCAAGCACAGGGATCTGAGTTCAATCCCCAGTTCCACCCAAAATTTTAAAAAAAAAAAAAATCTATTGTGGGGTGCAGTCATGTGCACCTATAATCCCAGCCCTTACAAGCCTGATTTCTGGGAGTTCAGGCCAGCCTGGTTACATAGTGAGTTGTTTTATTTATTTATTTATTTATTTATTTATTTATTTATTTTTGCGGAACCAGGGATTGAACCCAGGCCCTTGAGCTTGCCAGGGAAGCACTTATTCCACTGAGCCATCTCCCCGGCCCCTATAGTGAGTTTAAGACCAGTCTGTAAGATTTTGTCCAAAAAAAAAAAATGTTGGGCAAGGACTGAGAATGTAGCTCAGTGGTAAAAAGAGTGATTATTATGTGTAAGGCCTTGGGTTCAATCCACAGCACCCCTCCCCAGAATTGTACTGTGCTTTGTACTTATCTTCAGATTTCTTCCTGTTAGTAATTAGTAGTGTATGTATATAGGGTAGTGATTTTTTTTTTCTTTTTAATGGAAGTTTTGAATTCTTTTTCTGCATGCAACCTAATAAATTGACCTCTTTGAATTTTCTAAATAAGATTTTGCATGGCCATTTAAATATTGACTTAATTTCCTGTTAGACTATCTCACAAAGCAATAGTTTGTCCTAGCATGGTGGTACACACCTGTATTCCCAGAACTGAGGAGACTGAGGCAGGATTGCTGCAAGTTCTAGGCCAGCCTGGGGCAAAGCCAGCCTGAACTATATGGCAAGGTTCTTTCTCAAAAATAATCAAGCACCCGAGTTCAATCCCTGGGACTGCAAAAAAAAAAAAAAAAAAAAAAAAATCAAGCAAAGGGCCAGCCAAATACCTCAGCAGATTAAAGCACTTACAGGCAGGCACAGGGGCTGCTGCTTCCATCTCTGGGCCTGCTGTGCTGGCCCCACCCCCAGGGCCCACTGAGAGGGCAACTGAGACTGGTCGTGGTGGCACCCACCTGAAATCCCAGCTCTTGGGAGGCTATAAACAGGCAGATCACTATTAGTCCAATCTAGTAGTGAGACCCTAAACACCCTGTAGACCCTTCCCTAAAATACAAAAAAATAAAATAAAATAAAATAAAGCAAACAAATCCCACAGAAAATACAGCACTAGTTATTTGAATAAGTGCTTGAATAATTACAATTTCCTAGAGGATTAATCATTTTTAAGCTTCCACCTCTGTTATTCAAATTATTTTGGTGGAGGGTACTGGGGATCAAACCCAAGTCTTGTGTTTGCCAATTGCCAGGCAGGCACTTATGCTGTTGAGCTGTAAGCTTTGGCTCTGAAACCTGTGGTAGATAAATTGAAGAAAGGGAATGTTACGAACGATCTTGGCTTTTATGCTACTGCTGTAAAATTATGGTGTCCTAAATTCTGAGTGACATAAAAGTTTATGCTCTGTTACTATATGGTATATTGGCAGTGGCAGTGCTTTGGGTTTCTGATTTTTTTCAAATCTGTTTTTTTTTTTGGCTTCTTAACATTGACATAGTGTCAACAATTTGTCCTGGGAACCAGTTAAAATGAATAGGATATCTTTGCATTTAGTAGAGATTTTACAGGGGCCAGGGAGATGGCTCAGTGGAATAAGTGCTTCCCTGGCAAGCTCAAGGGCCTGGGTTCAATCCCCGGTTCCGCAAAAAAAAAAAAAAAAAAAAAAGAAAGAAAGGGATTTTACAACATTTGGTATAAAAAGGGTAAAAATGTCTGTACTAGAAACTAGCCAAGTTAAAAAAAGAAACAGCAGTTATTTGTTTGTTTGTTTGTTTGTTTGTTTGTTTGTTTTTGGCAGAACTGGGGATTGAACTCAGGCCCTTGTGCTTGCCAGGGAAGCGCTTTTTCTACTGAGCCATCTCCCCAGCCCCAACAGCAGTTGTTAATGCTTGAGAAAATTGAAAGAGTATACAAAAGAGAAAGGTTGATTGTGGTGTACAGTATTTAAATGTACATTATTTAAATTATCAATGAACAGTATTTATTTTTGCCTTTTTGAGAGAGGGTCTCACTATGCAGTTCAGGCCGGCTTTCAGCTCATTTTGTAACCCAGACTGAAAGCTGGGATTACAGGTGTGTACCACCTCACCTGGTTGAACAGTATTTTATAACATATTACTATTTACATGACTTTTGCTAAGAATGGGATGTATAATACTAGTGTGATATGATGGGGGAAATTGACTGGGTAGGGACAGCTAAATCTTCACTTTTTAGGGAATAATCATTGAAATAAACTGAGAAAAAGCAACAGAAAGATATTGTTTGGAAGTACTATAAGTATGAAGAGAAGGCTAGAAACAAAATAGGATAGTTAATTGCATGCAGGTATTGGTAGGGAACTGCTTGTAAACTGTTTCATACTCTTGACTTTTAAAGTTACGTATATGGATTAGTTTAATTTAAAAACTGTATTGCTTAGGCAAGTGCAGGGGCCAGGGTTCCATCCCTGGCACCACATGCCACGCCAGCCTGCCCTCCGGGTGCGCTGAGGTGGGGATTGAGTCTGGGCGGGCTGTTGCACACCTGTAATCTCAGCATGAGAGAGGCAGAAAATAGGATCACTGAGTCCAAGCTGTGTAGTTGAGACCCTGTGTGTGTGCACACACACACATACCCCTATAGAGTATAAGTAAAGGATACCAAAAAATACATAAATATAAATATGCAGACTAATTTCTCTTTCTTCTGCTTGCCAAGCAGGCATTTATGCTACTGAGCTGCATTCCCTGTCCCAGACTAATTTTTCTATGTTTAAAAAATATTTATAAAATACTTACTGGGACTCTTCCTCTTTAGAGCCAGCACTACATAGAATAGCTTAGGTATGGCCTGAAAGAGTAAACATTGGTTTGGTTTATTAACCTGTAGCAGAATGTTTGGCTTTCAGAATTTACTGGAAGGACTTCTTACCTTTGATTTCTTCTGCGTAATACTCTGAACTAATCTGAATATTCTTTGTTGGTTTAGTGCCTATTCTGTTTGTAGTTGTGCTTGACTAATGCCGTAATTATTAACTTTAGAACAAAAGAATAACAGTTATTCATGCTCCTCAAATGATCTGCTAGATATTGTTTCTAAGAAAGGTGCCGTTATAAATAATCTGCCCTTATTCTGCCAATGTCCTTGTTTTCTGCTTTTGTTTAACATGTAGGAAAACAAGAACAGGGCTTTATTTTTCCCTTACGTGTGCGAAGGTCACAGTTGTGTCCAGTGTGCTTGGTGGGGAGACTCTTCACTACAGTAGTGGTTGCACTCCTACCCCATCATGACCTAATCTCCCACCTGCGGAATGCAGAGTTTACCTTTTTCTTCTGAGAAAAGCTATGCTCGGGTAACTGTGCCTTCAGTGTGACCTTATGACACCAGTCCCTGACTTTCTTCCCCCACGCTAGAGATTTGGCAATTTGGATTCTTTAAAAGGAATTCTTTCCAAGTATAGATTACAACCTCAGCTGTGGTGTTTAGGCTAGCTGGAAATAATGTAGAGGCTATTTCTGGAATGTTCAGCTTATTTTCAGGACTAGAGGTAAATGCCGAAGTTTTGGGGATTTTCAGGGGAAGAGGGAGCCTATGTAAGCACAATTTACTGTCAAAGAGCCCCCAGCTTAGTATCTTTCTCTGGTGGCTTGAATTAACGATCACAGTTTGGAGGTGGAAAGGGGAATCCACTGGTGCTCATGGTAGTGAGCTCTGAGAAGAGAGTTAAAGCAGCATGAGACTGAAGTCTGTCTGGCTTGCTTCCAACCTAGGAGTAGGAAAGGCAGTGTTCACAGGAAGCTAAGAAACATTGTTGGGGAGAAGGCAGAGAGATAGGCTTGTTTAACTGAGAAGGGTACAGCGCTCAGGTTGGACCCTTCTGTGTACTGCATTAGGAACTCAGGAAGAAGTGTGAGGGCTGCCTGAGGAAAGGTGGAGACTGACCGGGACTCCAGCCGGTTCCGTACTCCGCACACCAAGCATACTCAGTGGGAGGGAAGAGGAAGTGTGTTCTGGAATAGCTCAAGCAGCTTTTGCCATTGGCCGCCGGGCCTGTCAGTCGCCTGGGGGCTGAGGCTAAAAAGAGGAAGAAGGAGAGCCAGGCTATTGCCTTGAAGGGAGGAGGAGGGCTGAGCCGAGAGGAGCCAGGGGGCGTGGGGGGCTGGGACCACTGGCGGATTGGCAGGGCGGGGCTGCTGTGGATCCGGGCCACTTCTCCTAATCATCCCTCTTCTGATTCAGGGTGGCATTGTGCTTCTCTGCGTGCAGGAGTAGATCCAGAAGAGAAGTGAGACTGAGCCAGAGAGCTAGGTTGCTTCAGCAGGGAAGACTCCCTTCCCCGTGCTTCAGGCTGCTGAGCACTGAGCATCGCTCAGAATGGAAGCCATTGCCAAATATGACTTCAAAGCTACTGCAGACGATGAGCTGAGCTTCAAAAGGGGGGACATCCTCAAGGTAAGTGTTGATGCCAAGCACAATGCTGAGGTCACCTCTTCTTGTGCGTCTTTACCTTCTTTCACTGTGGTAACACAAAAGAACCTGCACTTGTTCTTTTTTCATCACACACTTTTTAACATTTAGTATCAGGTTTGAACTGTTGTGTAGCTTGTGATAGATGCTGGGTAGAATATTCAGTATGACTTAGAGTTAATATGATGTGTGGTCTTTAACTGCCTTTGTGTGGCTGCCCAGAGTATTTCTGTTTGTTGATACTAGTAATATTTCAAAGTAGTAAGATTGTAGAAAGGAAGGGTGTGAATAGACTGATTTACTTTATAGAGCTTATAATAAAAAAGGATTTTTTTTAAAGACCTAAACTTGAAATATTTAGCCTTAATTTATAGAACCAAAAAGATTTTGCATTTTGTAATATGATCTTGGTAGTTTAGAAATTAATTTTCCTGGTTTAGAGATGTTATTAAAAGTATATGCCAAAACTCATTAAAGAACCTCAGTGTATTTTTATTCTTTGTGGAAAAAACTAATGAAGTTGTAAATAATAAGGTTCAGTTTGCTATTGTGCAGGTCAAATTTTGATTTTCTTAAGAGAAACTTGAGCAGTTGATCTATTAAAATATAATTGTATATAAGAAATCTGGTGACAGTTTAGAAATAAGCTTCTTCATAGTTTGCAGCTTATTTTGAGTCCTGCTATTTACATGAGCATTCGCTCCCCACCTGGCACTGTTAGTTATGTTGTCCACTCAGTTGATTAGAGCAGTTTCCTCATTTGGATATGTAATTTATCTTTACAGGGTGTTATTGAAGAGTATATTAACTACAACTGAGGAAAAGCTCAACTGTGTCTCTAAGTCTTGATATTCTTTACTTGGAGCCTTGATTCAGTTGTTGGAATTTGCTAGACATTTGCTTAGTACCCTTGAATGAAAGCAATTCATAGACTTTATAGAGAAAGAAAGCAATTTAAGAGGAAGAAAACAAAACTGTTCCAGGCAGGCTAGTGCATGACTGTAATCCCAGTACTCAGGAGGCTGACACAGGAGGATTCAGAGTTTGAAGAGAGCCTAGGGTACATGGTGAGTTCATGGCAAGACAATATGATGAGACTGTTTCAAAAAACAAGAAGTGAAAATATGCTTTATAGAAAGAACTATATAAAGAACTTTTTTTAGGTTTTACCTTGCCTGTAATGCCCAAGGTATGGAGTTCTCTGAAGTTACCTGGAGTCATTTCATGATGTTAGAAATGTAGGTTGAATTTCATAGAAGGTGATACTGAAAAGCTCATAAGGGATGCAGATGGAGCTGTAAGTTTTAAAAAGTCATGTGCTGTACTGTATCTTCTGTTTCTTAGAGAGCTAGAAGTCAGAGAAAGGATAACTTAGATTACTAAGTTACTCTGTGGCGTTGGTGAGTGATTGCTGTTTTCAGCAGATGACCCATTTGTGATATAGTAAGACTGGCTACTCAACATTTGTAGCATGTACAAAATTCTTTTAGGGCCAAGTCTCTTCTCTCCTTCTTTAAGCTTACCTTAAAAACTTGAACCTGAAAGAATAGTAATGTATCTTTTTCTCCCAGTGCATTTTTAGCATGAAATCAACAAATTAAATAAAAGAATTTTAAATCTATTTTTAGACAACATTGTTCCTTAATTGCTGAAGTTACCTGGAGAAATTTGTCCTAGATTTAAGACTGTGAACATTTTATCAGTTCTTTAAATCATTCAGATTTGGAACCAGTTTAGAATCTTTCCCATTCCATAAGGGAGTGTGATACTGTGTAACACTCCCCCCCCCCCAAGAAAGTGAATCAGAATGCTCACATTTTTTTCCCAGATAATTCATTAGGGAGAGAAAAATACATATACTTGCTTCTTTCCAATTTGGTAGATAACTAGGATATGAAGTCATGCTGTTATTTCTTTTGAACAGTGGCCATTAAACTGTTTGTTAGTAATCTTGTGGGCCTTACTCCAAAAAAAAAAGTGTTAATACGGTAGCTGCCCTTTGTCTCATAATAGTTAGGAGGGACATGCATTAAGAGTTGTTAGTTTAAAAAAAAAAACAACAGTTTTTCCTCATTTGCTTCAAGGAGGAAACCAGTCACATTTGACTGGCTTTGATGTAATTTGATAACTCTCTAGGATGTTAGCTGTAAACTGAACCATGTGTAGAAGTGGCTGGGATACCATTGACCAGATTAACTTTGATTAAAATAGAAATATATTTGTTTGCCTTCCCTTGAAGAAGACCTATGCATATGGGTATGGAATGCTCTTCATTTCAAGATAATGGCTCTGACTAGAGTTCACAGGGATTGCATCCTCTCAGAATCTTGAGTTCCTAATTAACCTTTAATGTTGACTACTGTCCAGCAGACACTTTCCTTTTTTGTTTTTCTTTTCCTTCTCCCCCCCCCCCCTTTTTTTTTAACTTTGGCAGTACCAATGATCAAACTTAGGACCTTGCACTTGCCAGACAGGTGCTTATGCCACTGACCTATCTCTCTGGCTCTCTTGTTTTTCTGAGACATGGCTCTCATTATATAATTCAGTCTGGACTTGAACCGACTCTGTAGCCTCAAACTTGTAATGATCCTTCTGTCTCAGCCTTCCAAGTGCCGAGGTTCCAGGCATGTGCCACCACGCCTGATTACTTTTCCTTACTCTCTGTCTACACAGTGGCCTGCTACAACCCTGAGAAAAGAGCTCTTCTTTACTTTCCCTCTGGTATAAGCCTGGGTTTTTCTTGGTGAAGGGGAGGAAAGGCACTGGGGCTTTAAAATGGAAGGACTTCCCTTACAGGCTTCAATTCTTACATAGCTGTAAATGCATTTACTATTCCATGCTCATTAAAAGTAGCACAGGCTTGAGATAGTCCCACAGTTTTCCACTGACAGTACTCCTGGATAACAGGTTGGGGATGTAGCTCAATGGTAGAGAGCTTGCCTAGCATTGGCAAGGCCCTGAATTTTGTTTCTGAGTATCAAAAAACAAAAACAACCCTGAATAGTTTACCCCAGGTCACATAAAACTGCCTGAGTTTACCTGAGTTGCAGCTGCTGTGTAAGGGTGTGTGCAGGGCAAATAGTGCTACATAGCAATTAAAACCTGTGCTCTTTCCGTTCTAGAGCTGGCCTCCTGCTTTTTTCAGCTCTAGAAAGGATCTGCCCTTGCCTGCATCACTTAGATATCTTCTCTAGCAGGGACTCACTACCTTTACAACTTCCTGAATCTACTTGAGAAATAGGTCTTGTGTTACTTTTGGCTATTTACAGTGTCCTCTTGTCTGTGGTGTTGCTTGGCCTATTTCATTGTCACACTTAACTTAGTACTTCCTTGAACCAGATCCTGGGATCAGTTGCTTTAAGAACTGAGAAAGAGGGCCGGGGAGATGGCTCAGTGGAATAAGTGCTTCCCTGATGAATGCTAGGGCCTGAGTTCAGTCCCTGGTTCCGCCAAAAAAGACTGAGAAAGAAGTGTAAAATGTACTTTCTTCCTTCAGCAGCTCTAGAATCTTCTAAGTGAAAGGAGATTAACATATAAAACAGTAGGGAGAAGTATGTTACTTTGTAGGATTTATAGAGTGGAAAAGACCTTTGAAAAAATCTTTTAACTTACACTTTTATTATTTTACGTATAAAGAAGTTATGGTCCACAGAGATTAAATGATGTAGCCAGGATCACACAATTGTTCTTTCTCTGTAGTGAACTGGTATTTGATAAAATGTCAGAATTATATTGTACAGGGCTGGCATGATAGCTCAACAGAATAAAGTGCCTGCTTTGGCACGCACAGTGACCAGGGTTCCATCCCTGATCCTGCATACCACACCAGCCCCACCCCTGAGGTGTGCTGAGCTGGCGACTGTGTCTGGGCATGGTGGCGCACGCATGTAATCCCATTGCTGGGGAGGCTGAAAGCACGAGGATCACTATGAATCCAAGCAGTGTAGTGAGACCTTGTACCAAATTCATAAATAATAATAATAAAAGAATTATGTTGTACACTAATTGCTAGAGTAGGGAAAAAAAGAGGTTGGTAAGAGCTGGCATCAGAAGGATGTGTGTGCAAAAGTTGAGATGTAAATTCTCCCTGTGAGATGGACAAGATGGCTTGGTGAAGAGAGGACATTTAGGGTAGGGGAAGTTATGCTGGTTGTTTGAGATAGGAAGACAATACAGTTCTAGACTGCCATATAAGGATTTAGACTGTGATATAATCAAGATGGTAAAGTTGCAGTCAGGAAAGAAAAGCCCCAGCAAGGGACCAGCTGACCTGGTCCTTAAGAAGAAGCCTTAGAAGGGTTTTTGCTGCTGAAGAGTCTAGTGTACATAATAGATTGCAAAAGTGAAAGCCTGGGGGGGGGGGGAGAATAAAGGCCTGGAGCCAGAAGAATTGTGAGGAGGAGTCAGGTGTGAGCTTAAGCACCTGCATAGATATTGGGTATTAGGAATACCCAACAGTGATTGAGAAGTACTGAAAGGAAAAGATCATGGGATTTCTGCATATTATCTAGAGGCATTTGAATAAGTTTCCTATGTAACTGAGCAAAGAATGAACATGGATTATGATATTTGAGAGCTGGACCCTTCATTGCAGCTAAAAGTGCTGAATTTCAGTGTGCAGATCTCATTTCAGGTGTTTGAGCTTCCAGTCTCAAGAAGTAAGAGGTGGGGTGTTTTTCTTTACTCTTTAAAAATGCTAGTATCAATGTATAAGCACCTGTTGGTAAAAATTCTTGTCAGTCTTGCTAATGATTCATTTAATCTTTAAGAAATGACTTGAGTTTTCTCGAAGGAAATCACTTTGTCTTTTTTTTACTATATTTGTTTTATCAGCTGAATGGACTATTGCATATAATATAGGTGCTGAGAATGAACTTTCAGTTCCTCTACAGGACTGGAGGGGACTGGCTAAGCATCAGTCTTCCCCTCTTTTGGAGAAAGAAATAAATAAGGAAATACAGTGATCCTTTGGGGTCTTTCCTGTT